CGCTTACCGCCGAGCGGGGCTGCAGCCAGCTCGGAAAAATTCCGCCGAGCCTGGCTGCATTTGGGGAGGGAGGGAAACGTGGCGCCTTCCTTGGCTGGGGAGTTACGGTTCCCGCCTAGCCTGGTCCCGCGGTGTGCGGGGAGAAGCCTGGTGGGAGCCTGGAGCAGCTGCGGTCCCGGTCCTGCCGGCGTGTGGGCCTGGGAAGGGGATCCTCGCGTGAGATAAGTAAAACTTAGAGCCAGGATAGGCCCTCTCGAGTGTGCTCTGCTACGGGGAGAGGCCTCCTGTGATTTCCTGATGTTTGATTTCAGATGCTTGGAGACCAAACTGACAGCTATCCACAAACTGTTTTATTCCCCTGAAGTGTTCTTTTAGTTTGTCTTGCCAAACTGATGAGCATTGTGTTTGGGAATCTGAGAACTACAATAGCTGTTTGAAATGGGACTTGAACTGCCTGAATCCCTGCATGCCAGAGTAACAGTCAGTTTTTGGAGGTAACCCATGCTCACTTTTCTTACACCTGAATGCCACGTGTTCTGTTTATCATGGCCTTTGAGACAGCAGCAACCATCCTTTATTTCCAGGCTGCTTTGCACATTCTGCAATCAAGCTGCGGCCGAACTTCATCCTCTGTAGGCCACTGAATCTTTCATTCATATTTTTACAGTGCACCAGATTCTACAGAAGAGCCTCATGGTGCTCCTGCAGAATACTCTGTAACAGCATAGTCAACTTGCAGTCTGGCAGGACAGTTCATTGAGAGTGCTCCTGGAGGATCCTCACAACAGGGCCAGTTGAATTGTTTTGGCAGCATCATCCTGATGCCATCTTCCCCTAGAGCTTAGTGGCTCTTCACCAGCTGCAGTGGCTTCACTGCACGTGCATTACATAGCATGTCCATACATCCATCTGTTCTCCAGGAAACAGACTGCGTGAATTGTCCGTGTTGGCCAATGGTTTCTTTTGTGTCTGCCCTTGAGCTTTCCTCGGGAAGAGCACTATGTGGAATAGGCTTCATGGGCAGGCAGCCCAGTCTCAAGCAATCCTTTCTCCAAGGAGCAACCAGGAAAGTGCCAATGTTTAGGTGTCTGTATGCAGGTAGAATGTTACCTGTGCTAGATACCTTTATACAGGTGCTGTCTTATACCTGGAGTGTGTTTCAGGCTTGTGTGCAGCTTGTGTAGTAAGCCTTGTACATACGGATGGTAGGGACAGTGCTTCTTCACCCAGGATGTCAGTGGCTCTGTGATGGAACAGTCATGGTCTCTGACCTTCTGTTGCTATTAAAGCACGCTGGTTGGTCTGCATTGCCTTTCTGGCTGTTTCTCTGTTGCGGTACTACTTCTTAGGAATGGTTTCTGCACCTGTAGTAAAGAGGCAACTGAGCCTTGGTTTTCTACCTCCTGGCTATATTCAAGCATTTGGTTAATGTATGAGAAATGTGCGGTACTTCCATATCTTTTACCAGTGTCTTAGAAACAAGTATCTGCATGTGTATTTGACAGTCTCTGCACACAGCCTGAAGCTGTCATAAAGGTATTTTAAGTACCTATGTGCTATGGGAAGAAAAATACGTAGGTGTGCATAGTTAACCTCAAGCAAGTATGAGCTCACTCTACCTGCAGCTAGGCTGATAACTCAGGCATAGTGCCACACTAGTGTCTCTGTTGGCCAGCATCTAGCCATAGCAGAAAGCTCATGTTTGCTTGCGGTCAAATATCCAAATCTAGCTTTTTTTCCCTCCTTCCCTCCTTCTGTGCATCCTTGTTCTTGTGCTGGATTCAGATTAACTAGGTGCTGTCAAGGATGGGCATGGACATGTGTTGCTTTAAGGTTGCCATAAAACTTGATCTTTTTCTGGAACTTGGCAGTACCTGAACAGAGGTTTCCAGCGTAGTGATACTGAAATGCCTGTACTTTGCCTTAGATCTGTCTTCTGCTTCTGAAGCTGAAAAAGCTCATGTGCCTTTGAAGTAATCTCATATTAGAAAAGCAACAGTTACTTTGTATGTATTTCTCATTGCTGTGGTTAAAATTCCTTGGAGCATCAGTGTTGTCTTGCCACCTATTAGTTCTAGTCTTCAAAGATGATGTTTCATCTAAGTGGAATTTTGGGAGGTGAAAAAAATTATTATGGTCAGATTTCTGACTGTTGTGATGTATTCAGGGAACAGCAAGGGAGTGCTGTTTTCAGAAAGAAAGTGTGCAGTGCTACTGAAATACTTACATAGCAGAAAACAGACTTGAAACGCCACTAGCAATTTGGATTTGTTATACTGTAAGAGCTGCTGCACTTTTTGGCTTGTCTCTTTGAAAACTGAGCAGTACAGATGGTAGTAGGGACAGTGCAAGAAGGGACCGCAGTTCAGCAAGCCTGGTTGTCAGTACTTGTGAGCAAAACCAGTTTGTGAACTCACCTGTTCCTGGTTCTACCTAAGTGTCACAGAATCACAGGAGGGTTGAGGTTGGAAGGGACCTCTGGAGATCATCTGGTCCAACCCCCTGCTCAAGGAGAGCCACACAGAGCTGGTAGCCCAGGACTGTGTCCGGACAGCTCTTGAATATCTCCAAGGATGGAGACTGCGCAACCTGTCTGGGCAGCCTGTGCTAGTGCTCAGTTACCCTCACAGTAAAAAAAGTGTTTCCTGATGTTCATATGGACCCTTCTGTGTGTCATTGCCTCTAGTCCTGTCACTGGGCACCACTAAAAAGACCCTGGCTCTGCCCATCCTCTTTACACCCTCGCTTCAGATATTTGTATGCATAGATAAACAAGTGTTGTAGAGCCCTTGCCTGGGGCTTCAAACATGACCAGTTTGCAGGCAGTGCTAGCTCGTGCCTCACTCACTGGGTTCTGTGCTTTGCTGCAGGCTAGCACTGATCATCCTGGGGAAGGCAAGTGAAGAGGTGAGCGGAGTTGTGCATCTAGCAGAGAGAAGCGGGGAACATTCTTTATGGCATGTTTGGGTAAACAGTAAATGCTCCGTTGCCTGAGAGTAATAAATACAGTGCCATAAATACGTGTCAATCAGCCCTTCCACAACACTGACTCATAGCAGATTGAACATCAAGATCTTAGTATTGCAGGATTTGTTTTTTCATTTTCTGATTATTCCTCTGCTGTTGTGCAGTCTCTTCCATAAATCTCAATGCAGCTTTTAAAACAGCTGAGTTTCTTGCTCCCATTATTTTAGAAGATAGTTTTAGAAATTTGCTGTGCTGTTAGTGAGACATGTTCTAAATTCCAGTTTAATTCGCATAGCTAACAAAAAATTCATCTACATTTAGCTCCTGCCTGAAACTTGAGTGTCCTAACTGGATATTAGGAAGTTCTGAACGTTCATCATATATTGCCAGATAAATGATTTTCAAAGTTGTTGTTCCTGAGGCTTTCGAAACCATTAATCAATGGAAATTTATTTCACGGATCATATCGAGTAAATCTTAATCCATGGTATTTATCTGAATAACGCTGTTCAGTTGGCATGTGCTTAGGTTTCATTTTAAAAAGTGAATAAAAGCATTGCAGTGTTTAAACATCAAGTCAGAAAACGTTTTAGTAAGGTTAAAACCCATCTTTTGTGCCTGGTCCATCATTTCAGTTTTCATCTGTATCAGTTAAAATCTACAAAAGAAAATTGCATCATTGCAATGATAGTAATGCTTGAAGTAGAATCATAGAATTGTTATGGTTGGAAGAGACCTCAAAGATCATCAAGTCCAACCTTCTACCCAACGCCATCATGCCCACTAAACCATGTCTCGAAGCGCCACATCTAAACGTTTTTTGAACACCTCCGGGGATGGTGAGTCCATACTAAATATAACTAAATACTAAACTTCCGCCTGTTAAAAAAATCTTCTGTAAGGATTTACAGTTAACTGTAGGTTCAGGTTGGACCGTTTCAGACAAGTGCAGAAGAGCCTTTTTGTTTTAAAGCAAATTCTGTTGCTGTTAAGCGTTCTAACTGAACAAAAAGGCAAATTATAAGAAATATTTGAAGGAAGCACTGGAAGTGTTTTTGTGAAGAGACTCAATGACTTTAATTCCTATCAGAAAACTCTTGTGTGCATTGTAGTAAAGACCTTAAAGACACAAAGTGTTACACAAGTATTAAAGTATTAAAAAGGCCAGAACTTGATGAGATTTCTGTGTTGGGGGAGGTGTGTCACAGTTAATTGTTCTAACATCTCGTAACACTGTTTTTTATTCACATTTACATATTTTTCTAGAATATGCTTTTAAGGCCATAAACCAAGGTGGACTTACCTCTGTAGCTGTTCGTGGGAAAGATTCTGCAGTAATTGTAACACAGAAGAAAGTACCTGTAAGTAGTCTGTTTTTGAGGGGGGAGCTGGAAAGAGATAAGAAATAAGGTGGGGGTGAGACTGCAACATTGATATTGTATTTATTAGCATTGACACATTGCTATCTGAATTGAGTATCTTATTATTGTTATGCTTATTACAAGTTTTAGCTCTGTTTAGTGCTCAGTTGTACATTTCCTCACTAAGTACTGTAATACTGGTTTTCTCTGTAGTTGTCAAAGGGATAAAGCTAACATACAAAGTTGGTCCTGCTGCACTTTAGCGTGTATACATTACTCTGGCTTCTAAGGGCTGAGTTGTCCGTAATCAGTTTCCTGATTTCTTTATTCCCTACTCAGAAAATGTTATACTAGTAGCATGCAGAACAGATTTTTGTGAGTGTTTTAACACAGTGGTGATGTATTGTTGACAAAGGAGGAAGACCCCTGTGTTTGAAGGGCAGCATGCAATAAGACTGCAAGTTTTCGTATGTGTGTTCTCAAAGTTTCTTCAGAGGGAAAAGGACTTGGATGTTGGTCATGCTCTAGCTGTCATCCTTTTCTAGATATTGTGGTTTTTATCTTCCCTATTCTCCTATTTCTTCCTTCACATGCTTATAGCAGTAAATAGAGAAGAGCCTGAAAGACAATTTTTAGCTGTTGGTTCATTCTTTCATGCTCTCCTGTAGATACCAGAGCATGCAGAATCTGTGTCTTTTTTTTTTTTTTTTTGTACTTGAAGGACAGTGTTTTCTATTAGATTATTTCTATTTCCTCTTTAGGACAAGTTACTGGATTCCAACACAGTGACTCATTTATTCAGAATTACTGAAAATATTGGCTGTGTGATGACAGGAATGACAGGTATTTAATTCACTATCTTTTTTAAGTATCTGAAGTGTGTCCGATTTTTTTTTTATGTAGTTTGACAACTTTGCATCACATAAAACAAGTAAGTGTTCTAGGAGATTTGTTCCACTCAGTCTGTTTTTGCAGAACTTGTCTGGTTCTGATGTGTATATTTAGAGACAACTTAATGCAAATTCCGAGTCCAACTTTCTCAAGCAATGCTGGGCATAAACCTGGTACATGTTCAGCGAAATTAATATTAGTTCTTTCTGTCTAGCTGACAGCAGATCCCAGGTGCAGAGAGCCCGCTATGAGGCTGCTAACTGGAAGTACAAGTATGGCTATGACATCCCTGTGGATATGCTGTGTAAAAGGATTGCAGATATTTCTCAGGTCTATACACAAAATGCTGAAATGAGGCCTCTTGGTTGCTGTAAGTATAGTGTATGAAATTAATCTCTGTTTCTTGTCTAAGCTTGCAACTTCAAGTATAAGAAATTCTCACCTGTTTTCAAATTGTGCAAGATATGGATGTAACTGATGGAGTAAGAGGGATGAACAGGCAAATGACAGAGCAGTGTTGGAAGTCTTGAGTTGGAGCCATGATTTTACCACTGACTCAGCATTTGAATTGGAGTAAATGATTTAGCCTCTTTAAAACGTGTGATACTATTTCACCTTAGTTTTTGGGGCCTCGTCTGTTTGCACTGCACTGTGATGTCTGTGAATGGGAGATGCTTTTTTTACTGGTGTCTGTGCCTGGGTAGATATCACTGTTAAAACAGACATGTGGAGAGTGCGGTTATGCTTGTGCAGATTTTGTGGCTTTTTTATCTAAGTAGTATGTATAGGACAAAAATCGGCATAATTTTTGCTCTTAACCATGATAGATAAAATGTAGAGAAGAAGCGCTTAAAAATACTTCACTTGCAAACATTTCTACAGCAGTCTTGTTTTATAACAGCAAAAGCAGCTTAAAAACCAGATGTGTGTAAAGTTGTTTTTTATAGATATTCCTGGTCATCTGTATGTTCTGAGCTTAGTTCTGACTTGTTCTTTCTCTTGCATTTGGCTGTGAGCAAATTATAACCATACTGTTAGGCTGTCCGGGAACTGAGATGAAAGACTTAATGTTTCCTCAATTACTTTTTCATTAAGCATTCTGTCTGGGTTTCTTTTTGTTTGCTTGGTTTTTGGGTGTTTTTTTTTCCTTTTAAGGAAAATAGCTTCAGAATTGATGAATCACTTCTCGTAATCATAGTAGGCACTAGCGCTTCTCACTAAAGAAGTAATATTCAGGGTAGCACCACAGTTTCCATGATGGGGCAATTTTCCTATGCTTGTAATGTTCAGGAATGATTGTTTCTTTCTTTCCCTTGGCATTTCCCATGCCTTGGTACTACTGGAAATTGTTGGGGTTTTTTTTTAAATATATGAATAAAAATGTATTTTTCTTAACTTTCCTTAACCTTTTTTGAGAAAATGATGGGAAATTTTTTTTCTGTTGTAGTAATAGCTGCTCAGAAGCTTGTCAGCTATAACTGTTAGTAAAAATTTATGCAAGTGTAAAGCAAAAATAATTTAAACCCTTGACCTTGTTCTGGTTTGTTTTTTTGGCATGTATTGCTTTTGAGTGATTTTTAATATGCATTTTGAGATTATACAACTGTAAATCTAGAAGTGTGGGTGAACACAGATGCATTTCAGTGATGCGACTAGTTTGTGTCACTTGAAGTCTATCCAGCTTGAAAGCACTTAGTCAAATGGTCCGCAAAGACTCAGTTTTATGTTCTGAGATTTCCACATTTCATTTCAGATTTTTTTTTTTTTTCCTTTAAAGAAGAGAGGGAAAGGGATGTAATGCAGTGCTTTTCAGGATTACAGTCAAGAAATCTAGACTTGACCTTTTAATATTTCCATTACTTGCAACATATTTGTAAAGTTGCTTTCTGCTAAAAGGCACATGTTAATAGAACTATTGTTTACACTTTTAAAGTGTCATATAATACACAGGATGTGAACTATGGCTGGGTTAACTTTGTATCGGGATTAAACTTCTGTATTTCCTGACCTTGTGGTTCTCTACACACTGAGCATGACAAAAACGTTTCTGTGTTTAATGAGTAGCCTCCTTTGGCAGTGACAGAAATCTAGTTTGCACTAAACTGAGTTTCACGGCTGGTAATGAGGTGCTAGTAAGAAATGCAAATTAGAGATAAAGAGGAAATCATAGCTCTAGGTATGGGACTAGTTCCCAAAAATGTACAGCTGTACATGCATGTTTTTCACAGGAGGGGGGTGTCCATTGTGTTCTTCAGTTGAATAAAACTGCTAAAATTGGGGAAAGAAATAAATTAACACATTTTCTCTTCAAGGTATGATTTTGATTGGTATTGATGAAGAACATGGCCCTCAGGTATACAAGTGTGATCCAGCAGGTTACTACTGTGGATTCAAGGCCACAGCTGCGGGAGTTAAACAGACAGAGTCAACCAGTTTTCTTGAAAAGAAAGTAAAGAAGAAATTTGATTGGACGTATGAACAAACAGTAGAGGTAGGCCAGCAGAAGGAAATAAAGATTTGTTAAAGTATTTTTAATGAATATGCTGTATGTAGGCCTGCAATATAGAGGAATGCAGTTAGGCATTTCCTGTTTTCTTACAGTTCTGTATTGCTGCCAGAGCAAGTATAGCTATTCCAACCAGAAAATCTTTTGAATGTATTTTGCAAATGTTTAAATATTCATCTGATCTGCTTTTTCTGCTTTACGTTAGCTGAAGCAGAATCTGTAATTGTAGCACTCCCACTGTAGCTGGTGGTTGGTTACTACAGTGCTTGATTCTGGGGATACCAGTACAATTTTCTTTTAGTGGCACTTAAAACAATCTTCATGTTAGAAAGCATTTCAAACAGGAGGTAGTAGTGCTTGTCTGTCAGTTTAGTAAATACAACACTAGTTGTTATGCCTACCACACAAACTGTTGTTCAAGCCCATTATAAAAATGTATCCTACTTATAGGTCAATGAATTTATTTTATAAATCATCCTTACGTTTTCACTTACACTGCAGAGCTCTGTCTAAACAGTCCTCTTCCATGACCCACCTGTTTCTCCTGCCAGGCCTTGTTCTTCTCTCATAATGTTATGTTTCCTGCATCACAAGATCAGCAGTTGAAATAAGGAATAATATCCTAAGTAACTGACTCCCCTGTAAGATTAAAGAGACTATTGTGTGAAGATCCCTGTGAGTGCTATGCAGATTCAGACCTTCAGCTAAATTACTTCTGAAGTCTACATTACTGTGAAAGTACCATTTAAATGGAAAGTTGTTCAGCATAAACTCATAAATTTTATATGTGTATCTTAATAAGTACTGATTTCCTTAATATGTGATTTCTTTAAAGAGAAGATCCTGAGAGGGTTAAATAATCATAGCATACTGAAATTGAATGTATTTGAAATTACCTCAGAGATCCTTTTTTATCCTTTTTTATTTTCACATTAAATGTATTTTTCTATCACTGCTTGATTATACTATGCATGTCTCTTAGTTGAGCGGTTGGAGTTAGATGAAACAGTGTTTTCATATTCTTGTTTTTAATTCATAAAACTTCCATGGTATGGTGCAAATACTTAATTAGTAATTAATCTGCCAGTCAAATCCTGGATGCGCTTCTATACCTCTTTGTTGTCTTTGTAAAAATGCTGAGATTGTGAATGTACATCAGACACTCTTACTCTAAAAGTCAGCAGTGACAGGGAGAAGCAAGCCTGTCAAGCGAAAACAGGAATCAGGTTTTTTTAATGTTCTTTGCGCGCACACACACACACTGCCCGTTTTTTTAAAAGCTTAGAGGTAATGCTCCAAGGATAAGAATTTTGTTTGTGGTTTTTTGGGTTAGGTTTTTTGTTGTTTGGGGTTTGGTTTTGTTTTTTTACAACTTGGCAGTCTTCTGATAAGATATCTATGTAGTCTTATAGAATTATTGCTGAATCAATGTATTATCAACATATTGAAAATAAACTTTAGAGAAGTCTTGTCTGGTGTTCTACACTTCCTAACACATTACTGGTCAGAATTAAATGCCAGCATGTCAGAGTAACGGATTTGATTAGCATCTAGCTACATAGCTGTTTTATGGAACTTCTTTTTTGTGCTCAATCATCATTTTAGGAATACATCTTTAGCATTGTTATGACCCTACTGTGGGGTTAAGTATGAGTGAGGTTGCAAAGAACACCTTTTAAAACAGGTGATGATTAGGGTGGAAAAAAAATAAGTTAAGCCATGATGAAATGCAGCTTTTAAAAACAGCCGATGTAATTTTAATTACCAGAAGAAAAGCCAAAATGGAAGCTATGCAAGTGACGCGCTTTGAGTAATCTTGGACTGTAATGATGATGTCTTGTTTGCTGTTAATGACACATGTTCTGTCCTTGGGTTTTAATCTTTGCATGATAGAAGGTTTTGGTTTTGTTACATTTTTTTTTTTCTGCTATGAAACTGACATGTCCCTCTGGTTTTTGTAGATTGGGCTTTTTAGGGAGAGGACTGGAGAGGGACTGTATTCTCTAACAAGGGGAAACTCTTTGAAACTTTTCAGTTGAGGATTTGAGGTGGAAGGAAATAACTTAAAACTAGAAAGAAGGGTAGTTCTTAGTGCTGTCTATTAAAAAAAAAAAAAGGCCTTAGTGCTTTCTGTTTAATGATAGGGTTTTTTTTGTCGTCCTTCAGACAGCAATAACATGCCTGTCTACTGTACTATCCATTGATTTCAAACCTTCAGAAATAGAAGTTGGTGTAGTTACAGTGGAAAATCCTAAATTCAGGTAAGTGATCAGTGTTAATAAAACTTGGTGTGGTTCTGTGGTTATGTGCAATTAGTTTTAACTTCTTGTGTAATGGTAAATCGAGAAAGAGATAAATGTCAGAAGTTGAAGTTTTGGAGGATTTTTTTATTCGTGACTCTCGAAAATGCATAAAAAACGTTGTTTTTAAAAAAACCAAAACACTGTTTTAAAATGTTTGACATGGTTAAGTAGATCCAGTAGAGAAAAGTGTTGTCTTTTGTTTATTAAAAGGGTATTGTTTTATGTGATGATTAAAATGTAGTTACATTTGGTCTTGATGATTTTTCATGCTTAAAAGAATAGAATTTTTTTCTTTATTATCTGGAATCCACTTCCAAATCATAGTCATAACAACTAATGCAGTAAAGTTTGTTTTGTATTAGGGCAAATTTTGCAAGTCACTTCATTTTTTAAATCCTTTTCTAAATGGGATCTTTAAATTACTCTTGCTCATCTTGTAATTGTAGCAGTTTTTAACATCTCCAGTATATAGTTAGTAGATTATGAATTGGTATTATTTTAAATGCTCTATTTAGATTTTACAAGATTAAAAGATCCTGGATTTAAAAAATCACTGCAGTGATTTGGAACTAGCTGAACTTTTACTTTATGCGTACACTGCATTCCCACCTAGCATGAAAGCAAGACACCTGCGATTTCTTCCCTCCCATCTTTATTGGTTGAATCTGAGTGCAGCGCATTATGTGCAGCAAGCTTACTTGGTCAGTCTGTTGAGACAACACCTGCAAATCTTGCTGCGGAGGGCTATACCTCACATCAGATACAGTATACTTGACAGCATTCTTACAACACAATGTGTAGCTGCGGAAGTATGCATGAAATGTGGGAGAATAAGTTTTGGGGCTTTTTTGTTAATGCAAAAGGACCCTCTAGGTATGTCTTACCTAAAATTGGCTTGCTGCAGAGGAGTTCAGTTATTTCTCCCTTAGTCTTTTGTTGCTTTTGGTTTTTTTCAAAATGAAAAAAAAAAGAGGAACAGCTAAGTGGGGAAGAAAAGTCCTCTGCTGCCTTAGTCTAGCTGCTTGGTAGGTGTGGATTGCAGAGAGACTTCAAACCTTTGGGTCCTACAGGTGCAGTCTTTTGAGTGCTTCCTAATGTGTTTGAAGTTGACATGGTGATGGTGGGTGGTTTTGCATTTGGTGGTGTGTGTTTAGGACAACAGAATAGCATAGCGTTTTCGAGAAAGCATGCAGGAGCTGCATCACCCCTTTTCTACTACTGCTAGCTTTCTGCCAAACTTCATTTACTGGTCTTACATCCTTTTCAGAAAGGATGGATAATAAGCAGTGGGAGAAAGCTACAAAAACCTGTGTCCCCCTTGGAGTAATCATACTAATTACCATACCCATTCTTCTCACCAGTTCCCAGCTTGCAAATATATTACTCATGAGGAATTACCTATTCTTTTTCTACCATTTGTTACCTCTTTGCTTTCTAGTGCCTTTGATTCTTTATTTTTCAAAAAGCATTGGAATGCCAGCCTGTGGCCCTGGCAGCGGGGCTTTAAAGGGCTGAAAGATGCATTATATAAAACTTACTTGTGTAGATGTCAGGTTGTAATATTGGAGCTTAAGAATCATTTAAGCTATTTAAGATTTCTTTTTGTTCTTTCAGGATCCTTACAGAAGCAGAGATTGATGTGCACCTTGTAGCCCTGGCAGAGAGAGACTAATTAGCATTCCCATTTCCATTGCCTGTGCTTCTGGCCAGGATATTTGGTGAAAATGCTTATTAATGGCTTTAGATTATGGGTGGGAAACAATGTTCACTATATGTATTTTACTCTGTACAAATAAAACAGAGGTTTTTGAAATACTTGGTGTCTCCTTTTAATGTAACTTTTTAAACTTTCAGTTCTATGAAATTCTCATCAAAATACTTGATGACTTTGTTTCTGTGATGATTGCTTGCCGTTTAGTTATATTTTAAGAGAAATTTTATACTCTGCACTGTAGTTTTCATCTGAGCAAATAGCTCCTATTGTAAAGTTTGATATCAGATGGTGGTGTGTGTGTCTTGAGATAATTCTTACATTTACATATGTTCTCTTCATGCCCTGATGTTGAAAGGCTTATAACATTGCTGGCTTAACTGTGCGGAAATTAAGAAGATCTTAGTATTTGCTCAGGTTTGTATGAGGCTATAGGACAAAAGTTGATGAAAAAAACACTTGAGCTGTGATTCCCAGTGCGTTCCTTCAAACTGACTTATTTGGGGTGCAGGTAATGAATTTAACAGACATCTGCTGTAACTAAACAGCTCTGAAGCTAACATTTATTTAGGGGAACAGATTCTGTATGCAGTGTACTTTGGGATTTTGGCTGTTTGTCACCTACCTGGTTTTGAGGCTTTGGGCAGTACCAGAAACAAAGCTGGGGCTAGATGGGGCCAATAGACGAAAGTCCATCAACAAGGAAGCAATTCCCCTTGCTCCTTCAAAGGTTCTGGGTTAGGAGAAAAGAGAAGACTGCAAAAACTTGAGTCAAGTTGAAGAAAAATGCATTTTTGTTTTGCTGCAATTGAAGAGGTTTCAGCCTCAGCAGCAAAAAGGGAGATGATGAAGTTGTGAGGGAGGAGACACTAAGGAGAAAAGGAAGATTACCAGGCATTTTTAGCTGTTGGGTAGACATTCTTGGAAGAATGACAAGCCAATACAACTTAGCTCCTTACCTTCATTCCTCTGCTGTGCTATTCATATATTGGCTTTAAATACTCCAAAATTATATTTTTTTTTTCTTGAGACCTTTGGGGAAGGCCTGATAAGTCATCAGAAACTGAGATTGTGTAATTTTTTTTCTTTTTGTTTTACAGTTGAAGCCCCTTGAATATGTATTTTTCAAGTTCATTATAGTAAAGGAGATGCAGTTCTGTGTTTCGTGATTTTAATAAAAGATAATGCTAACCTTATGTGATAACTGAGTTGAGGAGATTCAAAGGTACTGTGAATTGTTGACTTTACAAAGCTTTGTGAATTTCCATTAGTGCCTCCAAATTTCAGCTTCCCTTATGTCAGAAAGTGTAGTGTAGATAAGATGAAGCCACCCTTGCTTCTGGTTTTGGGTTGGTTATCTGAGAATTCTGTGTGGTTTTGTGCAACAATTGGCAGAAGAAATACTAATGGCACATTTGGAAAGGTCTGTGTCATTCCAAGTGACAGCTGAGTTTCTGAAACTTCCTAGGACCTTTATTCCTAATACTCCAGTTGTATAACAACCTGGAATTTGAGTATACTTAAGTCATCATTTACTTTTCCATAAAATATAACCAGTGATACTTTGTTCTTGATTTGCTTCGATTATGTGTATAGAACTTCACTAAGGACTTCTTGAACAAAACAAATTAAAAAGAAGATGACAATCGGGGAGACATATGACTAGAGCATATTTGCATAGCATTTAGTATTAAGACTCCCTGCAACACCTCTAATTCTGAATTTTGGAGCTTGTATGTGATTGTATAACTCAGGTGGTGGTTCTGAGAACAATGGGTGTTTGTTCATACCTTACGCTCTTGCAATGCAGAACATCCCATCTTGTTTTCAGACGTGATGAAATAAGCTGTCTACAATATATTAACTGGGAATGTTGCATTTTTTTTAATAAGCAAAGTTAAAATTGCAGCCACTGAAATGCCATTTTTGCTAGTATTTTGTCCTGTAGTGAAAATTCGTGGTTCTCTTATACTAATGATGAGGATTTTTCTTTTTCAATGAAAGCTTTTTGTAAGATAAGGCAGATACGCAGATGGGGATACGTGACCTAATGGGAAAACCCCATGTATTACACATACACGTGATCACATTCCTCACACCCTGGAGCAGATAGCACCAGCAACCAAACTGTACCAGCCATGGCTGTTGTGAACTGCACTTGGTATCACCTGCTGTTCCAAACCTGGCACTTGCAGAGAAACTAGAGCATGCATGATATGATCCTTACACTTCTGGTTTGGGTAGAGGTTATCAAGAGTGATAGCAGACTTTTGCTTGCTCCATATATTTGTGGTTTGTTGTGTCAGTGCTGAAAACTCTGGTAGATGCAGTTACAATGTGAATGCACAAGTAGTTAAGCAGGAATAGGATCAAGTCTTATTTACATACTGGACTCAGATCAGTGTTACCTGTACTAAATTCGGAGTAGCTCTGCGCAGCCATGTACTGCATCCATGTTACATTCCCAGTGCTCTTCATTTGTGGTGTAGAGTGTAAGAATGCAAATGCCAAGCACATGCCGTCAGCTTAGATAAATCAGTATTTATTGGACTCTGGATTTCTTGTGAGCAAGCCCCCCACCTCCCAAGGGGACCCCAGAAGCAGTCACGACATGTATTATAAACAGAAATAGCTTAATAGGGAATGTTAACATAAATTGTCTGTGGGTCATCAGGAGCTGCCTATGCATTCATCCTGGAAACAACAGGCATGCCTGGAAACAGGCATCCTGGAAACTACCTTAACATGGCAGGCAGTAACGAACCTCTAGGATTTCAGATGCTTCTTAAGTGCAACATGCAGTACTGCTTCAACTTGTAATGCACAATGTTAGACCATACCCTTTCAGTGTAAAGCCTCCACTGATGACAGTGTCGGCACAGAGAGGTAGCTGGGGAGTCCAGGTGGAGTGAGTACGTGTAGATACATTACAGCAATTTTAATGACGTGGAATAGTATGCTGCATTCTTCTCTACCTTCTCTGACCGGTTTCTCATTAAGCCAATGTCCAGGTGTACCAAATAGGAAATATTTTGGTTCAGTGCACATTGCTGGAAGTAAGATGAAAGAACTAGATCTGTAGCTCGCTGGCATGTGAAGAAAAAAAAAATAAATTAACTTTCCAGTTTGTTTTTTTTCCCTTGACACAGAACCAAAGCCTGCTGTTTTGAGTTCTGCAAAACAGCAGCCTTGTTGGCTCATGCGATCAAGTTTTGTGATGCGTATCCATGACAGTATTCATGTTTTCTTCTAGAAAAAAGAAACCCTACACTACCAGGATAATAATGGGAGGGGCATTGCTTTTCATTTTGTAATCAGTGACTTTTTTTAATTATTTTTTTTTTCAGATGGGAAGTTCTGAAATTGTCATAACTTGTTCCAGCCAGTTCTTGCTAGTAACAATTTGTTCTGTTCTCTTGTTTTGCTGTAACCCAAACTATTTGGAAACAATGCAAGACATCCTGTAGTTCAGGATCTGTTGGAACAGTGAACTTAAACCTCTTGTGCCCAAACTAAAACAAGGATCATCACATGCTTATGCAAAGCACTTAAAATAGTGTCTGGATTTTGTTTGTTTATCATGATTCTCACCATTTAAAAGAAAAGAAAACACTTTTTCCTGTGCTTTGTATATGTCTGTAGAGATAAACTCGCATTTCTCAAATGACTGTCAAAATCCTCAGTTATTATCAGTTCACCAAGCTTTTCTTAGCGTAGTAATCTTTGCTTTAGTTTCTCTAGTAGTAGTCTTACCTGTGTCACCATCGTTATGAAAATTCTGTGCTGCAGTGTTAAATATGGGAACTGTAATGTACTTGACTGTAAACCTTCTGAATAAATAGACCCAGCATATCAGTAAGTCAAAATCCAGCTAACTGCATTTGGCAGAATTGAGTCATCTATGAAGAAGCGTGTGCTTCCATTTTTTGGGTTAGTATTTTTCTCCTGGTCCTTTTTAGGACCTCTCGTCTGTAGCTGAGCTTCCCGGTGCTGCAGATGCACTACGTGGCCTTGCCGTGAAACTTACTGTGGCATAGCTGATACGCATTGAACCACAAGGCTCTGCAATAAAGTTTCCTAGGTAAAGCTTTAGCAGCGTAGTATGCAGTGTAGATGAGGACAGACAAGCCAAGCTGTAATTTTTTTTCCAGCAAACTGTATCTGTTTGTTTTCTCTCCCAGAAAACTACCTCTTCTGACATCCACTGGCCTACAGTGTTGTGAACATAAGGTATTTAATGCTTTATGGGATTCCTTAGACTAGAAAGCAACTCTGTCTCAAGTTAGAGTCAAACTTAGTACTTGTGGATGGAGAAACAGCATGAATGTACATGGCCTGGGATTGCATGATGGGGAATAGGGATGCCCTTCAGTGACATCTGATGTTGCTGTAATGTTTGCAGGTACGCTCACTCTCCCTGTTTTGATCCCAGCTATGTCTGCCTTCTTCCTTCAGTCAGCACTGGTGCTCATTTCCATTTGTAATGAGCCGTTCTGTGTACTAAACTGATGGAAAACATTGTTTTGTTTGGTTCTGTTCTCTGTCGGAGTAGTGACCTGAATCGGCTTACTGTAGGATTGAATTGGCCATAGTGCTGGTGTAAAGGAGGGAGGGGGGAAATGGGATTTCACTGCCTCTGGTTTAAGGTGTGCTGTGGAAACCACAGCCTGCATCACCAAAGGAACAGGAGTATCCATACCTCCTTATCTCCTTGACTACTCTTTGACTTAAAGCTATATGATGGCACCTGGTCCACCAAAGTGGTATTTGCCTCTGTCAGGAGGTGACACAAGCCTTCACTTCAGCACCATCAAGACTAGCCCCTTCTAGTCTGAAGAGGTTTCTTTGGGGACAGCACCATTACAGCAGCTCGTCCCCCCATCCTCTGCTCCTCTCCCCATTGTGTAGCCCAGCAATTTCCAGGGCTACTCAGGGAACCTGATTTGGAAACAAGTCTAAACTTTAAAAAAATAAAATAAAATGAAATGTAAAAAAATCTCTCCAGACAAGTAGCATTACCTCAGTTTGGACACTGGTTTCATCTTGATCCTGGTCCTGCAATAGTAGGACCAGCATAGGGGGCAGTGCAGGACAGGATCCAT